AAAAGTAGATTCTGATAAGATGTATATGGTAATAATACAATGGAATGTTATCAAACCATAAAAAGGAATGAAATTCTGATACATGCTACATTATGAATGATTCTTGAAAACATTATGCAAAGTGAAATAAGCCAGAAACAAAAGAACAAGAATTATATGATTCCACTTACATGAAATATCTAGAATAAGCAAATTCAGAGAGACAGAAAAGTAGATTAGAGATTACCAGGTGCTGGGGAGGAGTTCTTGCTCAATGGGTACGGAGTTTCTGTTTGGAGCGATGAACAAAATTTGGAAACAGATAGTGGTAATGGTTGCACGACAGTGGGAATGTGATAATGCCACTAAATTGTACACTTAGAATGGTTAAAATAACAAAGTTTATGTTACATATATTTTATTTTACCACAATTCTTTTAAAAAAATGTATATGATAAGCCCTAGAGTAACCACTAAAAAAAACCCTTTAAAAATACAATAAAAAGGTAAAAAAAATAGTTAGAAATCATTAAAGAAATTTATTCACTTAATGCATAAGAAAGCAGTAAGGAAGGAAGAGAGGAACAAAAAAGACATGAGACATACAGAAACCAATACTCAGTAAACACACCATGTAAAAGGAAAACTACAGACCAATATCTCTCATGAACATAGATGGAAAACCCTCAAGAAAATAGGAGCAAATCAAATCCAACAATGTATAAAAAGAATTAAATACCACGACCAAGTAGGATTTATTCCAGGTATACGAGGCTGGTTTGACATTCAAAAATCAATGAATGTAATCTGTCACATCAACAGGCTAAACAAGGAAAATCATATGATCATATCAATTGATGCAGAAAAAGAACTTGACAAAATCCAATATCCATTCACGACAAAAAACAAAAACAACTTACAATGGATCACAGACCTAAGTAAGAAAACATAACACTGCAGAACTTTTAGAAGGAAATACAGGAGAAAATCTACGTGACTTTGGATTTGTCAATGAGTTCTTAAATATATCAGCAAAAGCAGGGACACCTGGGTGGCTCAGCCGGTTAAGTGTCCAACTCTTGGTTTCAGCTCAGGTATTGATCTCAGGGTCCTGGGATCTAGCCTGGCTTCAGGCTCTGTGCTCAGCGGGGAGCCTGCTTGAGGATTCTCTCCCTCTCCCCCTACCCTCTCTCAAAGTAAAATCTTAAAAAACAAACAAAAAATGGTAAAAGCATGGTCCATGAAAGAAAAAAATCAATAAGCGTGACTTCATTAACATAAAAAACTGCTGCTCTGTAAAAGATACTGTTAAGAGAATGAAAAGACTAGTCACAGACTGGGAGAAAATATTTGCGAAACATGTATCTTATAAAAGACTTGTATCTAAAATATGCAAAAAATACTTAAAACTCAACAATAAGAAAACAATCCAAGGGGTGCCTGAGTGGCTCAGTTGTTAAGCGTCTGCCTTCAGCTCATGTTATGATCCCAGGGTCCTGGGATCGAGCGAGCCCCACATCGGGCTCCCTGTTCGGCGGAAAGCCTGCTTCTCCCTCTCCCACCCACTTTGCTTGTGTTCCCTCTCTCGCTGTGTCTGTCTCTGTCAAATAAATAAATAAAATCTTTAAAAAAAAGAAAACAATCCAAGAAATAGGCAGAAGATCTAAATAGCTCACCAAAGATACACAAATGGCAAATAAACTTATGACAAAATGCTCAACATCAGCTGACACCAGGGAATTTCAAGTTAAAACAAATTAACTTTAAAACAACAACAGATCCCACTACACACCTATTAGAATGACTAAACAAATTTTTTTTTAACTGATAATACTAAATGCTGGCAAGGATGCAACAGCAACAGGAACTTTCATTGATGATGGGAATGCAAAATGGCATAGCACTTTGGAACGTAGTTTGGTAGTTTTTTTTACAAAACCCAATTTATATTTTACCACACAATCATACTCCTAGGTATCTACTCAATTAATCTGAAAACTTATGCACATAGAAAACCTGCACAAGATGTTTAGAGCAGCTTTATTAAACCTTAATAGAAGCAACTAAAATGTCCTTCAGTAGGTGAACAGACAAACAGATTAACCAGGAAACATCTCTAAAATGTAATATTCAGCAACAAAAGAAAATGAGTTAAAAAGCCATGAAAAAGACACGGAGGAACCTTAATGCACATTGCTAAGTGAAGGAACACTGTCTGAAGGATTATATGACTATATATGACTCCAATTATATGGCATTCTAAAGGCAAAACTTTAGAGACAGGAACATGATCAGTGCTTGCCAGGAGTTTGGGAGGAAGCAGGATGGATGAATAGGTGAAGCACAGGGAATTTTTAGGGAAATAAAATAATTCTGTATAATATTGTTATGGTAGACACATGATATTATGCATTTATCAAAATCCATAGAATTTTATAGCAAAAAGAGTGAACCTTAATATATGCAATTTAAAAAATTCACCTGGGAGGTAGGGGAATCCCAGGAAAGAATGCAGACTGTGACAAGGGAATCTACTTGTATCACGATGTATGAAACAACCTCACTGAAGTGGATGGGAGGAAAAAGCACCGACCTAAGTAACTAAGGAAATGACTAGAGCCTATTAAAGGAAAAGGAACTGCACATGAGTACTGTACTTCGATAGTTTTTTCCCATGGAGTATGGTCTAACAATTCAAATACTGCTATATGTGTGTGCTGAAATTGGATGGTGGACGGTGGGAGTCAGGCTTTTCTTTTTTTGGTGCTGGTGCGGGGAAAGGCCAAGTTTCTAACTGTAGTAGTAAAGATTTATTAGTAAGCAAAGGGGAGGAGGCTAGAATGATCCATGTGGTAATGGATTAGAATTGGAGGTAATATGAACTCATGTTTAGCCTAATATAGACACAGTGGTTATATACAGAAATATTTAGAGGCACCTGGCTAGCTCAGTCTACAGAGCATGTGACTCTTGATCTTAGGGCCATGAGTTCAAGCCCCACCTTGGGCCCAGAGCTTACCTAAATAATATATGTATTTATAATATATGCATGGGTCACTATTCACACATATTTTTCTTTGCTCTGTCAGTGGAGAGGGCTTAAAAGACACTCCTACCAGTAGCACTCCTAGGAGTGGGGAGTTATGCTCCCCCAACTTGAGAGCCAGCTATTTACATAAATTGAGCAGTGGCTACAGAAAGCGGAAGGGCCAGAAACAGGATGGAAGGGGAAGCATCAGGAAGAGCACTACAACAGGGGAAAATATTGGAGACTCGGTAGACAAGTCAGGAATGGTCCCTGCCTACCAGCAATGGTGCTAATACTCTAAAAAACAGAAGGATAAAGCCACCAGAAGCAGGCCCACCGGCCTGAAGCTTAAGCGCAACCCAACTCGGGTAGAAATTAAGCCATCTGTAAGCAGTTGCCATTTTTGGCAAGGTGATAATTTGGCACCTTTACTGCTCCCATCTCCGTGTGTTCTGAAGGGGCAGAAACCCAGAGGATTTAACCCAGGGTCTAGGCTCCCCGAAGCACCCAGCATGAAGGCCCGCTGTCACGGCCTTAGTAGGACCTGTTAAGCGTGTGGAGAAATAACCAGTGCGCTAATAAGGATGGCAAAGAGCACTGTGAGACGAGTCCCAAGCGCTTTAGAAGTAGGTGACTGTATGTGGTCCCTGGACCCATTATTAAACAGGCCGCAGACGCTGGCCTGCAAGAAAAGGGACCTTCTGGAAGGGTCTGCGTATACTGCCTCAGCAGCATCTCTGGTTCCGGGGGTGATCCCCTGAGCCCAGGGCCACGTACCAAGCTCAGGTCTAGAAAAGGGGAAGGTATGATGTACAAGACCGGGTAGGCCCAGTGCAGGACACACTGGTGAGTCAGGAAGCACGGAGCAAGCAAACAGAAGAAGTTCTGGACCAGGAGCCATAGACTTGGTTTCGGAACCAAACTCTGCCGTTCTCTGCTTTGCGTCACTTAGCCTCCCTAAGCCTGTTTCCTCATCTTTATAAAGAAGTCTTCCGGCTTCTTCACACGGTGGTCAGGGGATCAAAGGAGATAACGGAACGTGTGCATGTAGTTGGCCAACAGGTAACTGCTAGCCCAGCGGTTCTCAAAGTGTGGTCCGAGGGCATCTGCGAGTTCCTGAGACCTTTCGAGATGGTCTGAGAGGTCTTCCCTTTTCCAACTAGCGTCTGCCGGAGCCCAGAATCGCTCTGTAAACTTCCTCCAAAACAGCTGATGAGACTCCAACTGTCCTTTATTAAACCAAAGAAATTTTCAAAAATATATACCACGCCCCTCTTTCACTACATGTGTTAAGATGTTACGGGTTTGTCATTTGTAAATGAGTATTTTTAAAAATTCCGTTTTAAGGGCGCCTGGGTGGCTCAGTCGGTTCGGCGACTGCCTTCGGCTCAGGTCATGATCCCGGGGTCCTGGGATCGAGTCCCGGCGTGGGGCTCCCTGCTCGGCTTCTCCCCCTGACCCTCTCCCCTTTCCTGCTGTTTCTCATTCTCTCTCAAATAAAAAATCTTAAAAAAAAAAATTCTGTTTTAATTCCTCACACCGTAAAGATTAAAAGATACAAGAAAACTCTAAGGGGTCCTCAATAATTTTTCGGCAGGTAAAGGGGTCCTGAGGCCAGTCTGGGAGCCGCTGTGCAGAACCAACGGGTGGAGGGTGTTCTCACTCAGCAGGCGAGCCGTCGCTCACAGGCGGACTCCAGGACCCTTTTATAAAACAGCCGTAAGTTCGCGGCTTCCACTTGTGGGAGAGACTCGTTGTGTGCTCTGGGGCTGCTAATCCGAATGTTTGTACCCATTTCCCGGGCCCAAGCAAGGACCCTCCCACAGGGAGGCACGCGCAGGAGAGGCGACCGTCGCGGGGCGTCGGCGACCTTGGCAGAGGTCGAGCCGGCGCACGGGAGGCGCGCGGTGCTCCCGGCCGGCGTGGGGATGGTTCCCGGCAGGGACTGGGGAGGCCGGGCCGGGTGGCGGGGGACTTAGGGACCTGAACTCACAGCCTCGGCAGCGCCGCCGCCGCCGTTCCATGGAGAGCTCTCCACAGCAGACGCAACGCCATCTTCCTGACGCGCGCGCCCCGCCTCAGGCCTGTCCTTCCTCATTTCGCCACGCCCCCATGGCCCCGCCCCCAGGTGGGCCCGCCCCCCGCAATCCCAGCCGCGCCACGCCTCGTCCCCCGAAAGCCGTGCCCCTTGCCCGACGCACCTGTTCCCAACCCGAGCCCGAGGTGTCCCTGCTGCCAGAAACTTCTGCGCTGTCATGGCAGGCAGAGTAGGGGCTCCGAGTGGTTGGCCACTTCTTGAGCGGTTTTTCTGGTGACTGAATCCAGTTTTCCCCGTGCTTCTGGGTTTTTTAAGGCGATGTTGAGAGACTTTGCATTTTCCCAACCAGAACAGGCCAATTTTTCTAGGGATTAGTTGCTTGTGTTGTTAAAAGTACTGCCTAACAAATTCGTGAGCCTCACCTTGTGCACGCCTTGACAGGGAATCCATTATGGGACGTACATTCCTGTAATAGAATCAGAACAGCCGTGGGCAACTTTCTGGGCCAGAGAAATGCTTGCTGAAGACTCAGTCAGCAAACACGTCACTCTAACTCCTTCCTGTCAGTTTTTCAGCAAATACAACTCCTGCCGCTTCACAGTCGGGGGACTGCTAAGGTATTAAAACAGACTTTACTAGCTGTGTGACTTTGGTTAAGTTACTTAAGCTCTCTGTACCTCAGTTTCCTCCTCTATAAGATGGGAATATTAATAGTACTCACCTCATAGGTCTGTTATAAGGATATCTTGAGTTAATTTATATAAAGAGCTTAAAACCTTGCTGGCCCAGAGCAAGTGCCCTGTAGCGTTAATTCTCATTATTATCATCATCATGTCAATTCCCTTCTTGAAACCCTTTGGTGGCTTCCAATGGGAAGCATTTAGAATAAAACCCAAGTTCTTCACCACAGACCTGAAGGCTTTAGAGGATCTGGTCCCTGCCTATCTCTCCACCTTATTTCAGCCCCACATTCTTCTTTCCACTTTTTTTTTTAAAGATTTTATTTATTCATTTGAGACAGAGAGAGAGAGAGAGAGAGAGAGCACAAGCAGGGGGAGTGGCAGAGGGAGAAGCAGGCTCCCCGCTGAGTCAGGAGCCCAACGTGGGGCTCCATCCCAGGGCCCTGGGATCACGACCTGAGCCAAAGGCAGACACTCAACTGTCTGAGCCACCCAGGTGCGCCTCTTTCCACTTTTTTTAAGTTCACTAAGCCATCTCTCACTTCAGGGCCTCCCCCCATGCTGCTCCCATCCCCAGAACCACAGCTACACCTTCTTATCCTCCAGGATATTTAGACTATCTGCCACCTGCTCCGAGAGGGTTGCACTGACGACCCAGAGGGTCCTCCCAATCTATTTCACTGTCACAGCAACCTGATGGTTTCCATCACAGCCCTCATCACAGTATTTGGGGATTTGTGAACTCACTTTCTTATTGTTGCCTTTTCCTCAGTGGTTCTCAACGTGGGAGGGAACTGCTGCCCACTGATCAAAGGGGTGGGCTTAAGGGGGCAGGACTAGGGTGGTGTGGGCAATCCCACCCCTAGAAAGGGGGATAGTGCTCTGGTTTAAAAAACACCATCTATAGGAATAGACTGTGAGCTCTTTGAGAACAGGGACCTGGTGTATCTTGTCAGTGCTGTGTGCCCCCAGCACCTGGGTGAGTGACTTGTAACCAGTAAGTATTTAATAAATATAAAATGAAAATGTTCCACAAGCCTCATTATAACTCCAAGAACTGCCATATGAATAGTTGTCTTTATTAAAAATGCCCTGGACCTTATGGCTTTTTAGGTAAAGTAGAACCTCCAGTGACTCATTTGCTGATTCAATTTCTTTCAGATTCTGCTTGAAGAAACTGTAGCTATGCCCATTCTCACCAGGACATCTGTGGTTTTGTTGAGCCTCTTCATGAGATTACTAACTCATAGGTTTTAAGAATTGTTTTCTAATTTTTGTGTATTTTAAAATAAAGCTTTATTAACTTCCCATATTTCCAGATATAATAGAGAAAGGAATCCAGAGTTCCTCCTTTGAGGCTAGTCAAATGTGGTTTTATTCACAGCCTCCAAAACTAAAAGTACATGTTTGCCCCCAAGGACATTTTAAAAATATGAAATTTAGCAGAGACTCATTATCCTGTTGAATTGGGCAATCTGGTAGGGTAAAAACCTTGCAGAGATCTGAGAAAGGATAGGAGCCAGAAACATTACCTCTGGAGCGTAATAAGCTCAGGAGTGGCAATGCTGGACACTAGAATAATGAACCAACACTGATAATTACTGAAGCTGGGTGGCTGGTACACAGGGTGGGACTGGGGTTGATTACATGTTTCTCACCTCTGTGTATGTTGGATAATATTCTCAACAAAAAATTAAAATAAAAATCAATTCAACTAATGCTTAGCATAAAAAGAGCCAAAGGGCAGATTTACCCAAAACCAAAGGAGGTTAAGCCTTAGGGCCCCTGACTGGAATAGGCCCCTTATAGGTCCCCCCACCCAGTGTGTTCACAGGTCATTTTTCTTAGTAAAATATATAAAAGTGAGATATTTTCACTACCATTGGTCTAGGTGCTTTCCCTGTGTATTCCAACTTATACTCCCTTAAGCTTCTTTTGTGTTGGGTGGTGTTGGAGTAGCTGCAGCAGTTTTAAAAATTTTTTTTCATTTATTTAAGTAATCTCTGCACCCACAGTGGGGCTTGACCTCATGACCCCGAGGTCAAGAGTCACATGCTCTACTGACTGAGCCAGTCAGGCACCCCTTTGGCTGCAGCATTTTGAGGGTCCAATTACGCGGAAGTTGAGCTGGGTTATATTTGGCTTAGATTTAGTAGAATGTGTTTATGTGATTTTTAAATGCATTTTATTTATTTTTTAAAAAGATTGATTTATTTATTTTAGAGAGAGAGAGCTCACGAGAGCAAGGAGGGGCAGAGAGAGAGAGGGAGAGAGAGGGCGGGAAGCTAACTCCCCGCTGAGTGCAGAGCCTGACACAGGGCTCTATCCCATGACTCTGAGATCAAGACCTGAGCCAAAATCAAGGGTCAGCTGCTTAGCCTACTGAGCCACCCAGGTGCCCCTATGTGATTTTTCAAAAGATTTTATTTTTAAGTAATCTCTATGGCCAACATGGGGCTTGAACTTACAATCCTGAGATCAGGAGTCACATGCTCTACCAACTGAGCCAGCTGGGCACCCCTGTATTTGTGTGATTTGCAAGCACTTCCATGTTTAGTTATGATTAGCTGTCCGGGTTTAGAAACGCTTCCCAGGACTACTACTGCCCAGTGTGCTGCCTCACCTGTGTAGAAATGCAAGGCCAGAGGTCATGTCCCAATAAGAATATGCTCGTTAAGGCACCTGGCCCAGAAGTATGTGGGTAATAGAAGAGAAAGTTTGAAATATATGAAGCCAGAGACCATCTGTGGTCATCAGATATGTAAAAGCACAAAGAGAATGTTTAGTTCTTATCCGTATCTGGTCAACGTGGAAACTCCTGTCTGGAATAAACTCTAATGGCATTGTAGTAGCTTTCACACTCTTGACCTCGCTCAGCTGGAAGCACTTCTCCCAGAAATTGCTTTGCCTGTGTATTTCCAGGTTGAGATTATTCAGAAGAGACATCTGCATGAGCTCTGGAAGGTGGAAGTGAAGCAGCAGGTCAGCGTGGGGTACCAGGCCCTGTGACCATAGATGCACATGCCTGTAGATCTGTGCTTCATCCTGTTGATATGGGGCTCTCAGCGTTAACGTCCTCCCTTTTGAGGTTGTTCACAGATCCCATTACTTTACATTCATATCCACCTAATTTTTTCAACTCAAACAAATTTAAACATTTATTGAATGATTCCTGACCTCAAGAAGCTATCTGAATAAAATTCAGAAACATGCTAAACATGGATGAACCTTGAGGACATCATGCTAAATGAAATAAGCCACACACACATGCACACACATACACACACAAATACTGCATGAGTCCAATTCTAGGAGTTTCCTAGAGTAATCAGATTCATAGAGACAGAGAATGAGGGTTGCCAGGGGCTAAGAGGAAGTGGTGGTGGGGAATTACTGTTTAATGGGCACAGAATTTCCGTTCTACAAGATGAAAAAAATTCTGGAGAGGGATAGTGGTGATGTTTGCACAACAATGTGAATATACTTACCACTACTGAACTGTACATTTAAAATGGTTAAAAATGATAAATTTTGTTATGTATATTTTACCACAATAAAAAAAGATTTTTTTTTTTTTTTTAGAGAGAGAGCTCACTCATGGGGGGGGTGGCGGCAGGTGGGGAGGGGAGGGTCAGAGAGAGAATCTTAAGCAGTTTCCACACCTATTGCAGGGCTCGAAGCAGGACTCAACCTCACAACCCTATAACCTGAGCCAAAATCGAGAGTTGGACACTTAACCAATGGAGCCACCCAGACACCCCAAGAAAAAAAGACTTTAAAAAGAATCTATTTAGGGGCTCCTGGGTGGCTCAGTCGGTGGAGCGTCTGCCTTCGGCTTGGGTCATGATCTCAGGGTCTTGGGATAGAGCCCCGCATCAGGCTCCCTGCTCAGCGGGGGAGTCTGCTTCTCCCTCTCCCTCTGCTCGTGTGCTCTCTCTCACTCTCTCAAATAAATAAATAAAATCTTAAACAAACAAACAAGCAAACAAAAAAGAAGCTATTTAGTCTAGTGAAAGAGGCAGACAGGTGAATGGGAAAAATAGGTGGGTCCTGAGGTCTGCTGGTGATACGGGGAAAGGTATACAGAAACAGAAAGAATCCTGGAATTCCCTCTGCTTGAGAGGGGCGGGACAAGCAGGGGACTTTGCAGAGAAGGGAATAACCAGCTGGGACTTGCTAGTGATTCTAAACAGACTGTTAGGGGAATGTACTGCCTGGGGCCGACTAAACCGTGTGAATGCCCCAGTCTCAACCAACGTTGCCCTAAAAAATACAGGTCTCCTCAATAGAAGTGCATTACATTGTTACCACTTGGTCGTATAATTATCATGAAACTCAAATAACTCTTC